CTAATTAATTCAAACAAGAAGTTGTTTATTCTTTTTTGTTAAAATTAATAGAAAATGTGCTCTTTGATAAAAGTTGTAGAGAGTTTAGGGTCACATGTTTTAACAATTTTAGTGATCATAATAATGCCACAGTCAATCAGATGTCCACTCTCAATAGTATAGATTAGATTATGTTAATAGCTGGCTTGATCTTGTTTAATAGTGGCACAATTTGAACAAATTTTTAATAGATTGCTAAAAGCATCAACATCAAATTTGTTAGTAGTCCTGAGATAGTTAATAAGCAAATTCGATTGCTAGTTTTGTTCATAGAAACTAGCAATCTCGATATAATCTTTGATGTTTATAATATTATAATTGAAACAGATATATTGGAATATTATTTTTATTTGTTCAAATAGCATGCATTTATATATTAAAATAATAATAATGCTTACTAAGCAGAAATTCTTTTTAAATTAAAATATATGTAATAAAATTAACTAATATTTTCATATATAAATTAATTTATTGTAAAATTAAATTTCGTGCTAATATTTTGGCTATGCTATTTATATTTACAACTATTATTAGTAATATGGCTAGCTGTGGTGGTTAAAGCCCAAAGAGATGGTATAGTTGAATTGCACAGTCATTTCTGTGGGAAAAGTTTGGTAGCAAAGATTGTAAAGCCTATAAAAATAGGCCAAGGAGTAGGTAAAGAGATTTATCTCAACCTGTCACTTAAACAAAGAGCAATTGGGCATGCTACAACCATTGAATACTGATGACATGGTACAGAATGCCATTATGCAACATCTTTTACAATATTTCTTCCCAACATCTTGATGTTGCATACAGATCAATTGCTCAGATTTGTTATAAGGCGAGGCACAATATTAATTGAGTGATGGTGAATGTGAGATTTGTTTTTTTATATTTGAATATTTGCATATGTTTTTTTTGAGTTGACTCAGACAGCAGTGATTGCACTGATTGTTTCTATTATAGGCATTTCTCTTGCCTAGAAAAACATATTCAGAACATGCTAGGTTTTGAATTTTACATATAAGGGTTTCTGAGAACGTTTGCTGATTGTTAAGGTGTTAAACTTGAAAAAGTATGGATTATAATACTTGAGATTCCTAGTGCTAAGCCAAACATTATGAGTTGGTTTGAGAAATATATACTGGCTAAAAATGCTACAAACATGCTAGCAAGTGATGGCAAAATTAAGAATATTGAGATTGGTAAGATGATTAAAGATGTTGGAATAAATTATATAGAGAACACAATTCATCTTCTTAAAAAATATATGCTAATATGATGGTAGTTAAAGAAGAAACAATATAATAAATTAATTCTTGTAAATCTCAGCGATAGATAAATGATGTTAAATTTAGGTGTCATTTATTCGATGCAAAAATTATTTCACGCTGCTTAAATGGCTTGCAATATAGTAGCAGTTAAAGCAAAAAAGATGAAGAGGAGTTCTTTTTAAAGCATTTATCATATATCTGGTGGTAGTAGCTATGGCCAATTACAGAAGAGCATTTAATTACCTTGCAAGTAGTATGAGAGACTATGTAAACCTGCTCAGATGAGTATGTAGTACACAGACAGAAATTATGAGTTTTTACAAATAAATTTTTTAATTCGAGTAAAGTGCTTTAAAAGACAAAATTTCTGTATAGTATCAAGGGATTTTGGCAGTAAATCATGTTGTTGGTTATTAGAATTTTTTTCTTGAAGATTTTATTATTTAAGTGAAATATTATTCGGTTGCTATAGGTGTCTAGATCAAATCGAAAAACTTTAGCAGTGCGGTATCCAGAGTAAAAGTAGAAGATGTGTTTTCCCAGATTCAAATGGATTTGATAAAATGATCTGTTAAAGAATTTAGAGACTGAGCGAATGCTATGCATCTTATACAAGCTGAAATATGAGAAAATCATAAACCAAATTTTGGTAAGAAAAATCATAATAGTAGTCATCGTTATTATATGTAAAATAGCATAAATAATAAATCATAGGTTACTATTCTTGCTTAGAATTAGATTTCGATCTATATTAATAAAAAAATAATAAAATATCTATTCACTAGAAGATACTATATACCAAGAATTTCATTGATTAAGTTGTATATGATCGATTGATTTTGCGATCAGGATTTCTTTAGAGAGAAGTAATAGTCTATTCTAGAGTATTTATTTGTGGGTGGTGTGCTGTTTTTGAATTTTCATTTCTGCAGAAAATATTCATTTGTGATGGTTAAGTCCAAGGAGAGGTCATTATTTAATCTTGATTGCTTATGATGATCAGAAATAGTCTTGTAAAAAGAGATGATTATCTTCTCAGCCTTTGTGGTATCACAAGCAAAAAAGCTGGCACAGAGATCCTTGAGACTCTTAAAGTAGTAGAAAAGATCTATCTTCTACCTGCCTAATGAATCATACTCAGATATTAAACACATCTTCTGACTCATATTCATGCCTAAATCCAGATACTCAATTATGTAGTAGTAAAATCAACCAGGTATCACTTTTTTCCTCTGTGTATTATGATTCGCCATAAAATCTATGACTATCTTGTTTTCTCCTTGTTGTATAGACTATTTGCTATTAAAAAAGTCTACCATGCTAGGAGTGGCTTTGGTAGGGTTATATTTCTCATTTAAGGTAAAAATGCTGAGATCCTGGTACTTAGTTCTGATATATTTTACTATCACATTGAACATGACATTTTTGAAGTCTTGGTAAGCATGAGATATCTTACGATTGGAGTTGTAGCCCAGGATTGCTCAAATTATTTCTTTACCAATTGTCTTGTAGAATTTGGTCGCATTGCGTTTGACCAACTTCAGCCCCTTTACGTAAAGCTTAGGCTTGTCCAATTCAGGGTAAGCCTCATGGATTATACCGCTATATTGCTTTTTTTAGAAAAATCATAAAGGGTATAGTATCTTCTCATAGGAGAATCTGATACTATGTTTATGTTCAGATATTAGAAAATTGTTTATCAGATACTCAAGCTTCCTGAAATGGTCAATGTTTGCTTGATCTTTTCATTCCAACACAATTGCTTAATTTTTGAGATTATTAAAGGAGAAGTTTAATGGCACATAAGATATTTCAATTTTATGCAATTTAAAGTTGTCTTGAAAAGGGTAAAAAAGAACGAATCAGTATCATTATAAACTATGTGTATTCTCTAAGATTTGTCAAATTCGATCACCTGATGCAAGGTGGATCTACAAAAATACAAAAAGTGGTGACCAATAGGGCAACTCAGAGATTGTAGAGAGAGGAGTAAATGTAGCTGGTAGTGCTGTATATCGAGTTGGTAATTAGCTTTAAAGTATTAAAGAGCACTATGTAGTAAGCAAGAGAGTCCACATCCTCACTATTTTTGATCTTTTTCTTGGCAACTAAAATGTTTCTCTAATAATTTTTTGCACATCAAAGCCATCAATCTCATGTTCTTCTTGATGTCATAATGAGGCAAGAATTTACTATAGATCTTTCTATGATCCTCAACAACGATATGAATAAGATCATTGGAGTTGATATCTACACAGTGTTATTAGATATGTTGTTTTGTATTATGGTAGATGGGAAGTAGGAATTCATATCAAAATTGGCAACAGGCTTAGGCTCATCCAAAAGTGAAGAACCATTCTCGAAGATGTTGTTTATTTTAAGCACCAATGCACCCTCATATTTTGATCTAAGCTTAATGATACCCTTATATGTTATCGAGAATAGTTTGTTATAACAGGCCATATAGTGATTATAGAAATTTGTAACAATAGTGCCAATAGCATTGGTAAAGATATTTAATATGGTGAGGCTGGATAGCTTGGTAATTTGAATATAGTTACCTATCATATTTCATTTGATCATAAGCTCTTGCAAATGAAGAGAGTCGATCAAGCAATAGTAAATGAGTGAAGTAGCATATTCTTTAAGTATTTTTTTATCTGGGTTTAAAGCTTGAATACAAGATTTATAAGGTATCTTGCAAAGCTTTGATAACTCCAGGGCAGATTCCAGTCTGTTTATACCTATTATTGCTGTAATATTGATGTATATCGACTGAAAATTATTAGACAATTCATCTGGAATGTGAGGCAAGTCTATCTTTCCATCAAGACCACATTTTTTTAACACGTGATTAAAAGTGTGCTTGATCTTAGCTTGGAATACCTTACGAGCCCATACCAAAAGATTGATAAAGATGGTTCTCTAAGTGTAAAAATATTTACATGTCATTTGCTCCATTGGGTTGACTTTTATATCATAATTGTTTAAGTTCAGGCTAGCATACTGGACCTTTTGAGTTTCAGAATCTCAGTTTGTTACTCAAATATCAATCTTACAAATATTGGCAAAGTGTGTAGATTTTGTGCCAGTAATATTTTCAATGAACTGATTATTAATACCCAATGCTCGAGCTTTTATCAACAGGAATCGCTAATCGAAACTGCCAGTATTGTAGCCAAGATCAATATCAGGCTCATATTGCCTGTACAGCTTTGAAAATTTTAACAAAAGTTGTTCTTGAGTGTCAAGTTTTACAAACAAAAAATTTGTTGATGAATATGATATCTTATCGGAGTAGAGAGAAAAAAATAGTAATTCATTGATATCCAAAAAAGATAGATTGTATCATCGAAAAGAGCTGAGTTGGTTCAACAGAAATATGTCAAACTGAATTATATAAACATAATCGTTATCTTCATCAGGTGCTAGAAAATAATCCAGACCACAATTGCTTGCACATTCTATATTCCAAGAGAGTATGAATAATTTTGGTATCTCTGTGCTACTAACAGGTTCAATGTTAGAAAATTCAACGGTCATTTGATTTTTCAGCTAGCCATGTTTTAACCAATACCAACTGACCAATTCAAAATCATATTCTTGTACTACCTTTTAATAATGACAAGTGTAATCATCAGAATAGGCGTCATACCAATTCCAGAATTTAGATATCATTTAATAAAGCAATTTTTCTTCTACCTCTAATCTCTTTATATCTGTTTTTTGTTTTGATAATTTTTTTTTTTATTTATTAATATTATCTTGCTGCTTGTTCAATCACCCAGTTGTTTTTTTATAATTTTTAAAGCTTTCTTACACTCATGATGATTAGAAAAGTAGAGCCAAACAAAATTATGCTATGAGGTGGAGTCAAACAGTTGCTTGTTTATGATCTCGTAACCATTGGGATTAAACTCATCAATATACAAGTTTAATATAGTAGGATTCTTAAGCTTGATATCGAAAAAGATATCACTTTCATTTACATCTATAAAGATCTTTTTATCATTTGATAAAACTGAATACAATCAAAAAAGATAGCCCATATCGCTCGTGGCATCAATTGTCTCATAAACAAAAAATAAATTTGGATTAGTTAGCTTATAGTTTTGAATTAACTTTTGGCATGATAACACATCATATTTATATAGTTAAAATCTTATTTGGTATTATAAAATACTGAATAAGATTTTATTTTTTTTTTAATAATAATGCAATAAAAATTACTGGGCGTCAATCAGCCACCCCAGACCCTGGCCTCATTCGGCGACAAAGTTTGCAAGCAAACTTTGAATTCTCTATATACAATTGCTTATAGCATATTGAATTGATTGCTGTGCTGTAGCAGTGATGCGAAACTTGTTTTTATATCAATATGTAGTGCCTTCTACGAACATAGGGGCTCAGTTCTGGCCATGCCATGAATCGTCATAGTAAATGCGTTTATATCACCTTCATGATTTTTTTTTGTTTATGGTTTAATTCTTGTTTTAAAAATAATTCTTTATTGAATTTTTCTTGATTAAGATCAAAACTCAAACTCTAATTTACATTTCTTCTTCTTGGTCCTAAATTATTTGCTAACATTTAAATTAGAACTGTTGTCTGATATGGTAAATTAGCTGGATCAAGTTGAACTCCTGTTTTAGCTGAAGCCATTCATTGACTACTATCTTTATGTATTTGAAAGTGGGTATCAACACATGGAAGTTGATTAGTTGAAATGATGTACTCAATGTCTGAGCATAATATTTATCGGGAGAGACATGTTTGAGCAATTCGATATACTTCTTGAATTTGTAATTTAGGCAGGCTAAAAAAGTAAAATTCAAGATATTGATCAGTACTTGCATAAATTCAGCCCTCTTGATTGGATTGTTTGTGGTGAGTTGTATGATTTTTGTATTTCTATAGAAATAATATCATTGATTTTTTTTCTTATCACTTGAATCTTATCGTCCTCGTAACAAGTATTTATATCAATTACAGTTATGCAAATAAAATT